ACAACCTCGTGTCTGCTTATTGATGAAAAACATTGAATTATCAATTAATGCCGAGGTTAACAGAAAGTCGGTCATGAGAAGCGGCATAATTGTGTACAATGCCAAAAAAACCGTAAGGTGGAGAATTTGAAGTTTTAAAAAAGGAAGACAGCACTACTGTGGAAATCATTCTGCTTGTTTAAGACTGTGCATCTCCACGATTTCACACGTCGTAAGGAATGTAAAAGAGATGGGACATATTGCCGTAAGTTTTCTCCCACAACTGTACAGGCCTTGGTCAGAGTTGAGAGCATTACGACACAAGTTCACATAAGGGCTAGGTTTTTGACTTGATATCCTCGTTAACAGCATACCGTATCTCGTCCCTTTCCTTTTTAACCGCGGAAACATGTAGATTTAGTCTTGTTCGAGTTGACGATCTGGCACTTGTTCTCGTTGGGAGACTGAAAAATGTAGGTATTGTCAATAGTGTGAAATAGTGTCAGTGTGAATGGGTGTCAGACTATCGTTCACGTCGTCGATTTTTTCCCAAACCCCATTTTGGCAAATGCGACAGAATCGACTTTTTGACGGAAACTGGTATGACATGGTTTATGTCTGGTATTAATAGGTATTACATTACGCTGGAAAATGAGCACCTATGCCGAGAAAATGCTCTTAGCCTGTGTTTTTGGTGTTGTTGTTCTAAGTTCTTATATTTTAAAGTAGTACTACCACAGGTATATCGAGATAAGAGCAAACTTTATATTCATATTCATATTCAGCTCAAGAAATAGACCTCGAGCACGCGTTTACCACTACCGAGGAGTCACATGCTGTCAACCACACCAATCGAGGCTTTTGCTTTGCTTTTTCTCAGCCATATCTATACTTGATTGATGCTAGCTGATAGTACCTATAGCTGTGGAAACGTGGCTGATAGACAGGTAGAGCAAAGACCACGGTGAATAGCCCATGAGTGCTATGAAACGGTAATGGTGGTTTCCAAACTCACTAGAGGTTCTGAGCTTTGTTCAAATCTCAGCATCCTTGTACTTTTACCTCAGATAATACTCTGCAATGAAAAAAATTGGCAGCAAACAAAAGTTAAAGCATTCTAGTAGTACCATTCTTATTCCAATAATGAACTTCTCCTTTCGAGAAATAGGTCCAAGTTTCGTTTGCGTTTTCGGCTCACACTGAGCTATCATACCAGTTTGAGAGCCTGTGACTTTTGTATAGCACGTTAGGAAAGAAGTAAGCATGGTTTGCTCATGGCTTACATTTATTATGACGCTATCGGATTCGGTAGGTAACGTTCGCTGATGGGCGTCTTCATCGAACGTTGATCACTGGGCTTCTGTAATTGTGAATCGCATTTTATTCGTTCAATTCTATTTTTTAGGTACTAATCTAAACTTATTTAGACACTCTCCCGATGCAACTTTGATGCTGAACTGGTCGGTGAGTTCTAACCTATCCGTTCAGCACTCACTATTAAGTGATTTTGTTCGTATTTTTGTTGAGCAAACGCGAGGTCTGTCATTGTACTATTATACATTATACTTCCACGCGATTTCTGTGCGGTTGGTCTCTACGTGACGTACTTAGTGGAAACCTCATAGGAAGCGGCTCTGAGGAAGGCGAAATCCGCCGAAACGTCAGCTTAATCGTGAACAAAGAATAATAACACCTCGCGTTTGCTCAACAAAAATACGAACAAAATCACTTGATCAATGCCGAGGTTAATAGAAAGTCGGTCGTGGCACTCACTATTAAGTCTCTGATGGAGAATTCAATCCCTAGCTAATGCTATAAGTGTTCACTATCAATGTATTCATCATTCTCGCGATGTAGGTCTTCATAGTCCTTGTTGAGTGGAACACCACTGAGTTACATGGTAAAGATATCGATTATTCACACCGAGGTTAAGCGACGATTCATTGTGAAAAATGAAAAAGTAAAATGTCCTCATTCCAGAGGCATAGGACTCTTCACCTAAGACCAAAGTGACAATCTGTACTTAGAATGCACGCACACTTGCATCTGAGTTCTCTATACAAGACTTGATCATGCAGGCAAAAAGGTTAGAATAAGACGTCGTCGGAGTGGCTAAGACGTGAACACGTCACCAATCCAAACCCGTCTATGAAACCGAAAAAGAACTTTTCATCGAAACATGCGAAGATAGAAGTGTCGGCGGTTTCGGCGTTCTCGTCAACACGAACTTGGCCATGATCATCGATTCATTCGAACAACTAACAACCAGAATCGTTGTTCACACGCGGACAACAAACTATGACGAAGATGAAACCGAAAGGTTCTTATATGGATTTGGTGAAGTCCTACGTAGAAGATTGTACATTCTTAACGGCCATCATTTCAACGGCAAAATCTGAGCAGGAAGGACGTCCGAAGAACATTGCAACCTACAAGTGATTTTGTTCGTATTTTTTTGAGCAAACGCGAGGTGTTATTGTTCTTTGTTCACGATTAAGCTGACGTTTCGGCGAATTTCGCCTTCTTCAGAGCCCGCTCATTATTCTCCTCCAGAAGTGGTCCTCCAAATATTTAGCACAAAAGTTTTCCTTCGTTTCGCACTTCTTCCACTTGGCGAACATCTGGTTTTGTCGGCTTTGTCGGCTTTGTCGGCTGTCGGCTACACGACGTATGCGGTCTACCAGAGGACAGTCACCAAGTATTGGACGTCGAATTGCGAATACTACGCACTTGTCTACGAAGCCGACAAAACCAGATGTTCGCCAAGTGGAAGAAGTGCGAGACGAAGGAAAATTTTTGTGCTAAATATTTGGAGGACCACCTCTGGAGGAGAATAGTGAGCGAGCTCTGAAGAAGGCGAAATTCGCCGAAACGTCAGCTTAATCGTGAACAAAGAACAATAACACCTCGCGTTTGCTCAAAAAAACACGAACAAAATCACTTGATCAATGCCGAGGTTAATAGAAAGTCGGTCGTGGCAATTGCAACCTACAGTTTAAAATGGAACGAACAGGAAGAACGGCTGAGTTTATCATGATAACCAAAACCACTCATGGTAACTCGCAATTCCAGAATCCTCACCCTCAACGCTGGGCGTTGGAGTCTCACAACGGAGAGTACCATAACGAAACAGACCATCTCATAGTAAGTCGAAGGTCTTGTATACCTGATCTCACTGTTGTTCTAATATTCATTTCTGTTCACAGGCGAAACACGTATGCGGGCAGACAGTGTGGAAATGACAACAAGTTCCTTGCCCCTTGATAATCAGGTGTGAATTTTTACATCTCCATAAAGGTCGTCGTCCACAGCGAACCTTTGAATTTTATAGATCTGGATCACACTGCCATTTGACTGATTGAATTCTAACCTTTTCAGCAACATTAGCTGCTCACAGCATCTCGTTCTCAGCAACTGCGATAAACATGTTAGTTAACCAACTCATAAAGCCTCACGGTTGATTGCTAGGCTCAAGAGCGAAGGCACAATACTCAATTAGAAGGACGACTAGCACAGAGCTGGAGAAGAAAATTGAAAATGTTAGTGAGCAGGTGCGGAAACCTGTCAGCACTGCTAGCATTGCCTACAATTCCATGAAACCGCTTTATTTCAATTACAACAACCTTACAATAATTCAACTATGTCTGTCTCATGACTGCCATCATACTCTTCTTCCTGCCAGTTCTTGGATTAAGCGGATCCGGACTCTCACTAGAAACTTGTAGATAAAACTGTTTACTGAGAATAGGCTATTTTACTCACTTTGTAAGATCGCTGAGAGTTCTTCGAGGATTTGGAAACCCAGCATCAAGCGCGTTATAGATAACATTAACACCAACAGCCAGGGCTTCGATCACAGAAGCACTAGAAACCTTTCCTGAAACGAACAGAAGCCTGGGGAGATAGAAGGCTCATTTAGGAGTCTGACTAATTTGCTGGGATGTACCTACGTGCCAATCGACCAGAATAGTGTTGTGCCACGATAAAATGATACACCGTGTTGGCGTTGGTGATTGAAGGTATGATAATTGCCTGATGATGCAGCGAACTTTATTACGTAATGTCGATAGAACATATTGCAATACAACACTTCCAACTTATTCGATACCTTCTATGTACAACTTTTTACGCTATGAAGGATATAAGGTATAAACACCTAAAGCAACGCATCCATAGAATTGTTCTCTAACAAGTGGCCAGGGAGCCATTTCGGTGAAATCGGAGGGTGTGAAATCGGGTACCGGTTTCCAAACTGCCCGGCACTTTTGTGCCCATCTGAAATAATTTCCAAGTGTAAAATAGAAAAAGCAACAGAGATGGAGTCGCAAGATCAACACAACATTAAAGGTTTTTGACACTATAAAATGAATATGATGAAGCACTTTACTTATAACATGCTCCATCTTGCAATATTAAATTAGCAGAGCGATCCAAGGACAAGTAGAACTCGTGTTAGCAATCTCCACCAATTCAATATGTTGAAGAGCTCACTTTCAAAAAACAGTGAAGAAAATGTGAAAAAAGTATGAACCCTAGAGCAGAACCCTAGAGCACAGAACGGCCAAACCCTGTACGTTTCAAACAACTTAAATTTCCACAAATATCAAGAAAATCTGAAAGACGGTGCTATTGAGGACAAAATGAACAATTCCTAGAAAGTATGTGAACGATGTGGTGATTTCATACGAATCATTCGCACTTAGCTTGATGAATCCTAACTATGGCTTTTCTGGATAGCATTTACTGCATTGCTCTCCAGCCACACTGCAGGAAAGCGCAATTGCATGAGCGATCATGTGTTACTCTAAGATGAGCACTGACGTGGGCAATTAAACTGGGACGATGTCAACCATTTTATGACATAACACTCGTATTGCCGAGCGCGCGAAATTGCCGTAGAACAGATGGACGACGGCAAAAAAGAAAACTCGTGCACATGAATGATCGCGACCAGAAAAGTGCGCAGGAGGAGTTCAGATAGGTTACGAACTGACTTATGCATACATATACACACATACACGTACACGCATACAAACACATACACACATACATACATGCACATACATACATACACAAACACACACACTTGGCAACTGAGGGTAATACGTCAATTGCGATTTGTTATAGAGGCTCAATAACTATATACCCAACGTATGAGCAGTTCAATTATAACCTGACAGGCCCAGAGTATTTCTTCAATAAATTATTGCACGGCACCCCACCTTCTCAATCTCTGAGAACTCAAAAATCCACTATACACTCCAAAAAGAAGGCAGGAATACGAAAAACGACATTAAGACAATCTTAACCCTTTAATTTACTGCTTTTTTCTTTTATAAACGAGTTATATTTCGCAACATACCCTGCCATTAAAAAGAAAAAGGCAGTAAATAAAAGGGTTAAGATTGTGATTATAACTAAACCTCAGCTTAACTGGGTTCAATGCTGATTTGGGCTCCCCATATCAATCCCGTTGACGGGTGATTGCTGATTGCAAAAGATCAATAGAACTAGCTGAGAGACAGTCAAAACGAAGAACCCGAATGGTGTGGTGGTGAAGTGCGCTACTCCCCGGAAAGGACAATAGCGCGTTCGTTCTCCACCACATACACTTGCGGTCTGGAGTTTTGCAAATATCTCAGCATTATATACGAGTGATATTAAAACAGTCCGACTAAACGATCCATTACGAGTGGCCTCGATTTGACGAGAACAGTGCATGAATTGGCTAAGCGGTTCTTTTTTATTTCCCAGTGCCTTAATGAAAAGATGACACTGTGGCATTCATACACTGGCAATATTAATTGCAAAAGAAGTGGAATTAAGCACTTAGTTGTTAGTATCACTATTATTCCTTTAATTAATAAACTTGAAGACCTTTATAATATATCTGGGAATCCATGCATATTTCTTCCGAGAGACGAGTCTTGAATACTCTTCAAGTTAATTTGAATAAACTATTTCACACAGAGTTCATCTTCTCGAAAAAAAACGTACGTGCTTTTACCAAATATTCATTAAAAATGTTAGTTTTTAGATCTAGTGGGATATTAGGATGTGAATTCACACAAACAAAAAACCAGAAACCTTTGACAATTAGGACCTGCCGGAGCTCGAATTCCAGGGTGACATTCGTAGTTCATCACCCATTGTATGGTGGGACGGCTCGATTATATAGGAATACCAAGTAGTTATGATTCGGTCGGAATTTGCTGCTCGCCTTTGTGTAT